CACGATGGCTTAATTTCTTTTTAATAATTCAAACTATAGTATTCTTTACTAAGAAAAAAAGGTGGCATAACTTCATCCATGTTCCAGAAGAAATTTCAAGTCTAATTCATCTTCATATCACAAACGAACTCGTCGAAAACTAACATTTTTTTTTTCATAGGCATGATAATGTCAAAATAAATAAATGACAAATTCTGTTTCTGCCATAATTTTCGAAATACAATATGCACTTAATTTGGTTATATGTCATCTTTAAAAAAAATAAAATTGCCATACTTGATTTTGTAATTGGATGCAATTGACAAATTTATTTTAGTCTTTTTGTGAGGTCTGCATGGGTTTTATTTGAACAATTTGATTTGTGACCATGAAGATTGTAATTATATGTATATCATATGTGATTGTATGTATATCAATTTTTTGACATTCCAAAGTTTTGATGCACTCAATAGCTGTATGTAATCTCTCAATTATCTTTATTATTTGATCGAAGCAGATGATACATACTGCATATACATATTCTAAGTTAAACTCCCTTCGCAAATACATTGTACTCGTTTTTTGTGCTTAATTTTTATTTATATTTACTAAATATACACATTTATAATGATTATTGAATATTCTGTGAGTTTAACTTAACTAAATATTTTGGATGTTCTTTTATAAACTTTAAATTGATCATATATCTTGTTGTTGCTCCCTTAAAAAGCACGGCTATGCAAATATTAACATTATACTAGAAATACGCTCCTGAATACTTAATGTTTCTAAATAATGGTTTGTTGTTATTTCGGAAGTAGCACGATATTATTATCTTTTAAAAGAATATTATTTGTTCCTGAATAGTATGAATTGTAATTTTCATTATTCCAAAAGAACATTAAAATACTGCTCTTAAAGAAATGTTGACAAAATGTAACGTGCTCTCAATGTAGCACATTATAATTCATATTAATATTCTAATTAGATTTTACTTGCTCTCGAATAGCATAATAATATAAAATCTAATATAAATTATGTTTTTACTCCTGAAGATAAATACTTACATAATTTATTATTCTAAAGAATAATATATTGTTGATCATGAATAGCATGATATTATAGTTATTAATATTAAAAAATAATATTGAACTATTGTTCCAGAAGGAGCATACTTTTAATAAATTAATACACGAGAATAAAACCCGATTCACCTATTTAAATATTTTAAAAGAATATTACAAATTACTTCTAATCAATTAATATAAATTAATATTCTAAAAAAAATGTTATATTGCTCTGAAAGAAACTCAATTATATATTTATTAATATCCTTGAAGAATGTTATGTGGTAACTTTTTTATAATCACAATTTACAAATTTCAATGTAAATATTACATTGATCTCGAAGAATTTCAATTTTAATTAAATTCTTCTAAAGAAGCTATAGTTTATTTATATTAATATTCTCGAAGAATATTATTTTGATAAACATACTATTGCTAATAATTTGTTCTCCATCAAATAAAGGAGAAACATACCTAGTTTCTAAAATGTGAATCATGATTGATATTATACAAATGTTAGCATAATTGAAACACGTTTTATATTGAATCAGAAATACAATTACTTAATATTATTGTTTGGCATCACCAGTTGGACCATCACTAGATGAATAATGATGTAAAATGAGAATTCAAATGAATATTTGTTGAAAAATAAGAAGATCCTTCAATCCAATAAATTTTATAATACTTATTTTATGTGTTATAAATTAGTCTTGATCATTACAAGTTAAAACATGGACTAAATTCCTTATAATTTTGAAAATTAATTAGGATGCTATAAGGGTCCGTATCACCTTCCACATTGACTATTTAAATATTATTTATATCTAATACATTTTATACATCTACTAGATAATTGCATGGTGTTCGCAACCTGAAATTTGCAAAATTACTACTTAAAAGTTAAATTATGAGCATAATTTTTAGATTATAAAATTAGGATGTTTTCCTATTAATACTAGCGAGCTTAACTCTCAATATTTTAGTAAGTGTTAGTTGGGATATCAATAAATCATTTCACACTATTGCTTTTAACACACATCCTATCAATTTCTTAATTATTACTATTGAGAGTAAAATACTTCCTATTTCTATTTAGAGAATGTTATTACTCATTATGCCAACACAATAATTCTCCATGTTATAACTTGTCTTATGTTTAGAACTTAATTTTTATTTAATTATTTTGATAGTGCAGCATATTTAAAATTGATTTACCACAATAAATTGAGATGAAAAGTAAAGAATGCTAAGAATAAATGAGTAGCTTAAACATTTATTTTAAATAGATGATATTTTATAACGCGGTTTGTTGATTGTCAATTTGATTGGACAATTTTCTCAGCATTAGAGATAAGAATAAAAAGGTTGAAAATAATCTACAAATACGTCATTATCTAAATCTCCACAAAAAAAAATTCAAACCAAAAGTTCGAAAAATATTTTATTTAGATACATTTACTGATTAAAGAGATTAATAATATCTCTCGCACCAACTTTAAATACTCCAACTCGAGTTGATGTCCTAAAAGGACAATTTGTTAATATTATATTTTATAAATTTATGACATGTTTGAAACGCGATTACATTTAGTTTTGTGCCAAAAATTCTTTTAAATAAAAAAAATGGAGCAATTAACAAAGATGATCCTATTTAGGAGGCATATACTTTTGAAATATATTAGACATAACAAAATGTAAAATTCTAGAAAAGGTTCAAGTACCTAAAATATTAAAAATTGAGATATCTCAATAACTTTATGTCGGTACGAGAAAGAAATGGAATCGAAAAAAAAGTTGTAGATAATAGCTTGTACAAATGTACAATTTCATATTCTACCCGACGATATCGAAATAAATTCATTGAAACATATCCAAGAAATAATTGGCCAAATAAAAGGATGCAATCTTAGTGAAATTGAATTTTCTAGAGAAACTTGAAGTTTTTGAACCTGCAGTCTAAAAATCCAAAGGTTTACACTTATATGAAAAGTAAATGAGAGAAAAATGAAATCGTGGCATATAATGTACGACTTTTAACATAATAAATATTGCAAAACTAGTGGTGGAGCAATCAGAAGTTCATATCTTGTCATCTCGACGATGCACAAAATTTAAAAGGCAGTTATAATCAATTCATTTGACATGACTATTAATGTTATCCTTGAAGTATTTAATATTTTTGAAGCATATAAATCAAGTGATATTTTCATGAGGGGAGTAAATACGCAATGTACTTTTTTTTCATTGACCAATATTTTATCCCATTGAGATTTTTAGTAAGGTTTTTAATGAGATAATTTTTGTAGTTTATTGAAAAGAAAAATATATTATTTTGCTTTCGTTAGAACTTTTCCCACAGATTTTTCCAAATAAGGTTTTAACGAGGTATATTATTTGTGTAATGATTGTCCACTAAAAGATATTTACCCTCAAAATAATACACTGATATTATGATATTCTCAAAGAGATCAACGAGAGCTATTTTTCGAATCATCATATTATTGCAGTCATCAAAAATTGATAAATATCATTTGTGAAGATGATATTGCATGACTGCTATAACAAAACAATACGAAACATGTATCACTAAAATTGGAATATTGAAGACATTGATGTACAAGACATGAATTGCTCGATACAATAAATTATCATTTATTAAAATTAGGGAGAGTAGTTGTATTTTTTATTTATTTATTTCTTTTTAATTTAAATTTGGTCCTATTGAATTTTATTGAAAAGGTTTTAACCAGTTAGATATTCTGTAATATATCATTCAATAGGAAGTATTGTAAATAATATGATGATTAGTGAATAACAATTATATACATATGTAGTCCTAATTTTTATTATCATTGTATCCCTATTTGTTCTCTATAAATATGGGCTTTGATTTTTAACATAATAAACAAGTATATTGACTTCTCTATTCTCTCTCTCTCTCACTTCTTCTTCTTCATAACACTACTAGATAGTACATATTCTTTAATAATCAACTTTTTAAGATTTATACAAATGGTTAAAATAATTGTGGATTGTTTGGCAATCAAATCCCAAATGAGATCTTAATATTTTTTTTTTTGTTGGATATTTATATTCACACCATATTTTTATTTCGTTGCTTCACTTTTCATTTGCAATAAATGTCTCTATTGACTTATGTTGTACTTATGCCCTCACAATTTTTTTGCTGCATTATTATCCTCAATCAATTTATATCTACTAGTCAGTTGTCCTTGATGATGGTTTCTATCCAAATGTTCTATCACACTTTTGCATTCGTTATTTTTACTTACTAAAAAAATATGAGGGCAAACAAGTCTTTTTATGTCTTCTCGATGCAATTTTTAGATGAAAACCATTACCAAGAACAAAATGTGCTATTAATAAATATTGCTAATAAGAATGGAATGAAAAATAGTTAAACTATAGGCACTAAAAAAAGTTAATAAACTTTAATATAATTAGAAAATGGTTCAAATATAATAATAATTATTATAAAAAGAAATTCCAAAAAGATCATCATCTCTGACTAAAAGTGAGACATTGATTTGAGAAGCTTTTTTACCATGAAAAAAAGTGGGGACTCAAAAGTTTTTTAAAGAAAATAAATCACGTCCGTGTTTCATATCATTGTTTTGAAACAATTATAAGAAATAACCTTTAATGTAATTAGAAAATGGTTCAAATATAATAATAAAAATAAATAAATTAAGAGGACTATCTGACACTAAAAGTGAGACATTGATTTTAGAAGCTTTTTACCAAGAAAAGTGGGGACTCAAAAGTTTTTTAAAAGAAAATAAATTACTTCCTTGCGTCATATCATTGTTATGCAACAATTATGAATAAAGAAATACGCTCGATTTCCACATGCTTACATGAAAAATATGAAAAATAATTTCCACCAGTATATTTTATCCGAGTTCATCGTGTAGCAAACATAGGGCAGCCGAAGAAGATACACTAAAGTTCTCTCTCTCTCTCTCTTTCTCACACACACACACACACATAATATAGACTTCAAGAATCAATATATTCAAAAATTCTGTTTTATTTTTTGTTTGCAGAAATGGATGAAGCTTCTTTACTGGAAAATGCTATAAGGTATTTGAAATACCTCCAAGAACGAGTGGATATACTTGAGGAACAAGCAAGAAAGCCCACCGTAGATGTCAAGAAATCACAGTTGGTTGTGGACGATGAAGGATCATCGTCGAATGAGCAGCAGTCAGCCCCATCAATCGATATTCGAGTTTGTGACAAACATGTTCTTCTCAGAATCTGTTGTGAGAAACGTAAAGGGGTTTTGGTGAAAATTCTTTGCGAAGTAGAGACGCTTAATTTGGGAGTTGTTAACACAAGCGTGGTGCCCCATGGAAGTTCATCCCATGATATTACCATTATTGCAGAGGTAAAGTAATCATTTTTAAACAACTTAACTTTTGAGATGTAGTGGTTGAAATTGATATATCGACTTCAGACTTTAAATCCATCTATGAAATTTTTTGTGTTTTTTGACATTTGATTAAATATGCTTGTAAGTAATTAGATAGGGGTGATGGTCTGATGGAAGAATTATTATTGAATCGTGGTAACGAGAGTAACACATACCCTACAAATGAATTTTTTTTTTAATCATAGTTAAACGATGTAAAATTGCCTTAAGGATTATTTATGTTTCTGAACATCTTGTTGAATTTAACCTTTTATCGTTTCAGAAGGAGAAAGAATTCAGTTTGGCAGCGGAAGAACTTGTACAGAATCTTTATGCTGTTCTCCAGCGAGCTTAGGGAAAATTGGGAGCTGGCAATGCGTACGAGGGGTTAAATGGATTTGGAATCGACTGTTAGAAATAAATATAATTAGTATTTGAATCTTCTCTTATATTTTAATGTAATCATCTCTTTAGTACCCTTATTAATTTAGTATTCTTGTCTCCCATTAAGTGAAATTACGCCTTTCAATGTAGATTTTCACCACTCTATAACTCGTTAAGAGAAATTGTGCAAGGATTGCAAGTTTTAATTTTTATTTAGTAGTTGTATTTTTGAGGGGGCATTTCAAAGTATCAATTGAAGATTTCAAGAGAGGGTCTCTTGTGTCAAATTGATATATGCATGGAACTAAAGGGCACAATTTTTCTACAAATTGGAATTAAGAATCGAATCGATTTGTAAGGTTAAATACCAGTGTTGTAAAAAAAGGGAACTAAAAAAGTTACATAATGATTAAGGGAATAATGGATATCTGATGGTGCTTGTAATAGTAATTAAATCAAATGAAAAAAAGACATTTTATATTGGTAATCAGACATTTATTTAAGCAGTCGCATATGATTTAGGAAATCAGGAATATCAGGGAATCTCGAAAGAAAAGGAAATCATCATTATAATTAACTGTTTATGATATTTTTAATAATTATGAAGTGTCTTATATAGGTTAAATAAATTGAAATCTTTATATAAAACAACCTAAGAGTGGTACATCTCTATAGTCATAATGGGATCAAACTAAATTTATTTCTGTGAGGATGTTATAACTTAATAGAAGTATATCGTGCAAATATATAGAAGTAATATAAGCACTAAATTTATAATTAATTAATGGAGCTTGTCAAATCCAAGGTATAGAAACTTATAAAACAGATAGAGTATGTTGTGTTAGGAATCTGCAAAACAATCTTAAAAGTCTAGTTTTTGTGTTCTCTTTAATTTTTTATTTCAAATTAAATTATATATACATTGTATAACTCAAACCATCTAACATAAAGATAATTATTACTATGTGTGAGCAAAGTCGGGACCTAGAAAAGTAATAAATTATTAAAAGATGGTGTTTATTCTTATTTATAACTGACCGAGATTGAGACTTGAATTTTTTATTATGTGAAGGCTATTCTTACATTTAGTTTTGATATAAAGATGTTTTATTATACTTTCTTGGCTAAGTTTTAAAAATCTCATAAACAACAGACTTAAAAGAGAAGATATAAGTTTTTAAAATTTAAAATATAATTAAAAATGATGATTATGTTTTATCAACTTATAAATACTTAAAAAACTTATATAAGTGAAGTTCAATACTAGAGGAAAACCTTGTACTGGGGTTGGAGGAGGGGTTGCGCTATCCTATAAAATTATTATTGGCATTTTATTAAAGTAATTAGAATATTGTTATTTATTATCAGTGGTAGTTTAGGTATCACTATATTATAAGCCCTATCATATGAATCAAGAATTCTTGTATTTAATTGAAACTATGATTTCATATCACAAGTACTATCACCTATAAATACCACTGATAATAAATTACATAATATAAAAGTTATGGGGGTTTGTTTGAATATCAAAGCCAAACTCCAAAAACTTCTCACAGCTTCAATAATATTGTGTCCAACAAGAATTTTATAAAATTCGAATTAGGATGTATGCATTCATCATTGATTTGGAATTTGATAAAACTTGATTAGACCATCTTTAAGAAGTTTTCGAAACACAAGACACTTTCTTTTTAGAAAGTTTATACTTAAAAATAAGTTTCATGAGAACACTCTCTTTATAAAGAGCATCTTATGAATAATTAGGAGCATCTTTATATTTAGAAAGTATTTTTTTCCGTACTCCAATCATTCTCTTTATTTTGACTCTTTATTTTGCTTTTTTCAAAATGCATTTATTGATTTCTCACCATCTTTTATTTAACATAATTATTTTATATGTCAATTGCAAATCAATTCAAATATGATTTGAAAATTTTTTGGATTAAAGTCTATAACTTGTTAAGTAATTGTTTAGTGTAACTAAAAAAATCATATCTTTGGTAGATTATTATAAAAGTTAATGAAATGAAAAGTTATGAATCCTATGAAATGTATGGTTAAAATTAATGGTTGATTTTGACTTAATTTTTATCAATTTTTAAATTACCCCAAACATGGACTAAATGTAATCATTATAAAGAATAGAGAATGAATTTGACTCTTCAAATTGGGAGAATCTTTAGTGCTTATTTTTAAACATTAGTTCTTTAAACAACAAGTATTTTGTATTTAGAGTTTTTTGAGATGCTCATAAATAGAGAGTGAGTTCGTTAATATATAAGAAAATATGTTAAATAAAAAATAAGGAGACATCAATAAATATTTCTTAAAAAACCAAATGAATAGTCATGATATAGAGAACTATTGAAGTGTATATAAATATTACCATCTAAATTAAAGATATTCAATATTTATATATAAGATTTATTTTATTTTATTTTATTTTTTGGGTAAAAAAAGGAAAATCTTTTGGAAATGTTCTTAGGATGCATAGGTTCATTATTGAATATTGAGTTTATCACGATTAAAGAAAAGACTGACACGTGACATTATACAACTATTAAAAAAATATTGAAAATAGTGTTACACATTATTACACTTCTACTTCTAGAAGGTAATTAACATGGTGACATATTA